GTGGAAAAAAAGACTTCTTTTGAAGTGACTGGAAGAAGAATTGTTGACATCAGTTTCTTATTCAAACAAATTCTTGATAGCGAGAAGCATAAACTGTTTGGATGTGATATCACAGATATGCAAGTTATAAAAGAAGTGCGAAAGGGGTTTATATCAACATTTACTTTGAAATGTAAAATGTGTGGCATAACTCAGCAGAATCATTCAGAGGATCCACGAAATATTTCGGGAATAACTGAATCCTTGGATATTAATTCAGCCTTGATTTTAGGAGCAGTTTCATCCGGCAATGGCTACTCAACATTGGCTGAAATTTCAGCTGCAATAAATATGCCAGTGATGGCTGAAAACACCTACTCTAATTATCACGATATAGTTTCTGATGTTATATACTCAACAGCAAAAAAAGTCATGGAAGAGGCCGGGAAAGAGGAAGCAGAGTTGGCCAAAAATTTGGAAGAAATTGATGAAAATGAAGTCCCATTTATAACTGTTGTAGCAGATGGAGCATGGTCAAAACGATCATATAATGTTAATTATAATGCAGCTTCTAGTGTGGTGAGTTCAATGTTTATATTTTTATGATGATATTGTTGATTAATGATATTATTTGTTTCAGGGATGTATTGTAGGACACCGGACTGGAAAATTATTATATTTGGGAGTCAGGAACAAATTCTGCAGTACCTGTGATTTTTACAATAGGAAGGAAGTGGAAATACCCCAACATAAATGTTTCAAAAATTGGATTGGCACTTCTACATCAATGGAAACAGATATTATTGTTGAAGGATTCCGAAGCAGCATCACAACGCATGGGTTGAAATATCTCACATTAGTTGGAGATGGTGACAGTTCTGTCTATTCAAAATTGATATTAACGAAACACTATGGACCCCAAACAGTAATTACAAAAATAGAATGTAGCAACCATCTATTGAGAAATTTTTCTTCGAAATTGAGAGATATAAGCAGTGAGTTGAATATCCTGTTGATTTGATGGAACGAAATTATTCTACGTTTTTTTTCAGAAAGACGAAGGAGCGCATCGACGAATGCCTTGGTACCAGTGTACCTTAGAAAAGAAGTCGAAAATAATGCTAAACGCCTACGATTTGCCATCAGTAAGGCAACGAAATATAGAATTGAAGAAAATGCTGATTTTCAAACGAAAGTAAAACAATTGAAAGAAGATATTCTCAATGCTCCTTCCCATGTGTTTGGCGAACACGCCAAATGCGATGAAATTAATTATTTCAATTGCAACAAGAAAGGCATTAACGTTGTATCCTCAATGCAAGAATGTGGTTTATACAGAGACATCCAGGTTTGCATGAATCGGCTCATTATACATATCGAGAGTTTACTTTACAACATGAACAATAATCTTGCTGAACATTATAACTCGATAGTTTGCAAATTTGTTGGAGGTGAGAGAATAAATTATTCGAAAAAAAATCCTACCGATCCAGATGTGAAGCTGCTCTTATATCATTCAACAAAGGACCAGAATATTATGGGGTCCTTCATAAAGCGATGACAAGAAGCAATAGCCCTAGCATATTTACCAAAAAGTATATGGGAAAAATCAGAAAGAGAAACCTGAGATATGCAAACTTGTCCAATGAAAGAAGGAGGCATCGACAAAAGCTTCGCCTAAAAAAAGGGTTCGCTCTTCCAGATAATGACTACGGCAATATTGTCGAATTCATCCCTGATATGAATGATGATGAGTATATAACAGCAGAAGAAATTAATTTTCTGAATAAATTAAAAAAATCACAAGAGGAGATCGATGATATTGAGAGGGAAACGGAAGACCAGAGCTCTTTCATCTTATAGATGGAAGAAAGACAAAAAAGAATCACTGCATCCAATTTTGGAAAAATTTGTAAAATGAAATCGAACACCCGCAGCATCAATACGATAAAGGAATTATTATACAAGAAATTCAAAGGCAACAAGGCGACAAGAGCAATGGCTCGAATAAGTGAAAGAGAACGTACTGCCAAACATGAAAAATGTTTATTTT